AGTCTTGAGTTATACTTAATTATTAACGGCCACCATACGCCACAAAAGTTATATATTATATATTATTATATTATATAGATACTTTATATTAGATAATATACATTATATTAGATATATTATATACAGGGATTTGTTCTTTATTCTAACTTGTTTCTCTTCCCTCGTGTATTTGAACCTGTTGAGAATCTTTCCCACTACGAAGTGGTAAATCTGATCATATCCTTTGAAAACAAGTTGCTTTTTTATCTTTGGTAATTCTTCATAACAACGTACAGTGAAAAGTTCACATCTCAAAATGGTAAACATTCGAAGAAGAACTACAAGTCGTATCGCTCAATAAATGACAACACGTAAAAGCGTGTGCTATATAAGATATGACTTTAGCGATATCAAGTGGACATATAACTTTATCCCCAAACCTTGCAAGTGGTTTGTCTCTGTTGTTGACAATCAAGATTCACGACATACCATTTCGTATAATATGCGGATATCTTATTATTTACACGATCTACATTTTTCGGATTGTTGTCCTCATCTTTATTGTCATATTAACGACGTTTCGACCGTTATACGTTCTCGCCTTCTTCAGGTGATATACGTTGGAATTTCGAACTGAACCTTTTATTTAGTTGACGGGGATATGATTCTTTCTAGTTTCACGTGCCATGCCTTTATCTCAAGATATCTCACTTCTAGTTAATTCCCTTTAGTAATTCAACTCTTAACAAGTTTTTGTTCCCCACTGCTCTGGCCAGGTATTGAACTCACAACTTTTTGGGTGAAGACATTGGATTACTTCAACCAACGCCTTTATCCACTGGTCCATGAGGTTACAATACTTCATTTCAGAAATATAGACAGAGGATATATTATTATTTTTATAATGATATAACAATATTTTCTGACAATTCCATGGATCGGAGTTCGAGCCTAGATAAAGGCCAGGGTACCCAGTTCCAATTTTTAAAGACATATAATTTTTCTCAGCTTTGAATGTAATGGCTAGCTACTCTTTTCCGAGTATAGTCGTCTGTTAGGGTGGCTATTGCCTATGGCAGTCGTATTGTTGAATAGAGACAGCACATCATCTAGTGTGATCAGTAGCTGAATAAGGCAAATACGCAGAATCGTCGACAGCTTACAGGTTTGTCTACTTCAAATGACTATGGCTCTTCAGGCACTTCCCAACAGAACCATCCTAAAACAGACCAAAGTAAGAATCGAACAAGGATCTCATGGTTGCAACGTTAAGGTAGTTACTTTACTAGAAGTGATCCCATTACCACTGAGTTAAGATAAGCTAAATAAACACCAAGTAAAATAAAGAAACAAAATCTGTTCTGACGTAGAAAGAAAGTAAATATTGTTATTCTCTCGTGTCTGGTGGCACTCGAATTTCTTTTTTTATTATACTCTCGATGATAATTAAGCTGTGAAATGCATTCAGAAAAAAGAAGCAAAAAAACTCGCGTTTACATAATTGAAAGAGAAATGAAAGCGGAGAAATTTTGTGATAATTTATGGCGAAATTTTCAGTTTCATATTGACTCAAGTGGAGGCCCGATGGCGACTTAGAAAATAACAGTGGATAAATATAAAAAATATTTTTCTTTTTATATCTTTAAATAATTCTGTTTATTTCTCAAGGCTCTTAAGTACGCTTACCTTCCAATGGAATGAAAACTTTTACACGCATACATATATTTTTCTGATGCCATACCCATACATGAAGTAGGCGATCATGGCTCTCCACATACTCCTTTTGTTTATTATCTGTAAATTGGCATAGATTCTTTGGAACGGTCAGTTATGTGCCATATGGGATACACGCTTAGGCGATCATATATCTTTCGATACACAACTGACGAGCCAGAATTTTTTTTCTTGTAGTAGGTTGCCGTATCTTTCTGCAGTAGACCAGTTGTCATCCAAGGCTATAGAACCCGGTCTGTTTTGCTATTTACCCATAGCTGGGGGGAAAGAAGAGGATTCATACCTTTCCCAAGGGTATTAGTACGTAAGTGAATGTAATGAATTCGACTGGAAATCCTCAATCGGAGCTGCTATCCATTACTCTACCGTAGCGCAATGATTTCCCATTGCTTTCCCCAAATTTTGTAATTAAGTCTTCCTTATCTTAGGCGGGCTATTACCAAAGGCTACAGAGCTCAGTCTAACTTGGTATTTAATCCATAGGTGTGGAGAGTAGAAATGCTTTAATGCTTTTCTCAAGGAAATTAATGCGAAAGTGAACAGTCTAGGCCGGAATTTGAACTTAGATTGTCGATACACCATTCCGGATCTATAACAGCTACGCAGCATTTTAGGATTGGATGGTGCGCGGGTTGGTGTATATATATATATATATATATATATATATATATATATATATATATATATATATATATATATATATATCGTGCGACAGGTAAACTGCACAGTATAGTAGAGTCAGCTGGGTACCGTCTGCGAGAAAAAGAGCACCATGACGCATTTCATTCTGTCGGGAATTTGGAAACAGCATGCTGTACTGCTTGGCATCGCACCGGAAGCTCCAATACGAACATTTCGCAGATGAGCGAGATACGAACAAAATACTTATAATAATCCTTATAATACCAAAGATGAAATGAAGGCAAGGACTATGGCAGCATTCACCAACTTAAACAATGAACGTACAGAAGAGACTCAGGAGATTTTGAAGTCAATGGCGATTTTATTGAATAAATTTACTCCTTAGCATTTCATGTGCAATTTTGGTAAATATATCTGTTAAAATGAGATATCAGTGTTATTTTCATTTTTGCGTAATTTAGACGACAATTTATCCATCTCACCCCTTATATATATATATATATATATATATATATATATATATTACAACACAAGCATGTAAGAATCGCTACACAATTGCAGTCGTGTTTCAACGCATAACAATGCGCCTCCTCAGGCGATGGTAAATTACTTTCATCACAATGTAATTATCTTTATTAAAAAATCTTCCAAAAATGAAATACACTTTTCTGAAGCTTTATTTGAGGAATATTAGCTGATTTAAAGTATAATTAATCTGATTTGAAACAAATATTATTTACTTTAAGATTAAAATATCGCAGAAATACATTTTTTAACCAAAGAATAGCTGTGTTTTAACCCAATAGTATCTGTGTTGATGTGTTGACAGTCTGATGACAGATTTAATGTTGTTCCTCGGAGGCTTTATCTGTAAAACATAATTGAAGTAAATGACGTGAGCGCCTTTTTTTGTATAATTTTTAAGTACTCGGTAATCTTGAAAATTTAGAAAAATATATTTTATTGAATTTTAGAAATGTTGAATTTAAATTTACAATATTTATAAATCTTATTTTCTAATAATGTCGTGTATGGTCGTCCGTACTTATAAAAATGGGCTCGTTTATATACTTATATAAACTCGAAATTCTTTTTAAAATATTGGTGTTTGATGACTTGCATTAAGCTTTTCCATTTATTAGTAAATATAGCTTTCACTTAATAATAATATCATCTAAAAGGTTGAAATTAATACAGAATTTTAAAAGATTTAAATTTAATAGATTTTTCTAATTAAAATTAAAAAAATCTAAACAATTTTTGTAAAAATTCATTATTCATCGAAAAAGTTTTCTTAAGACAATATTGTTCTTAATATATCTTGTTTATAAAATCAATTAAAAGCTTTTCTAATTAAAGAATGTTATGGTGTTATTGCATTTTTTATTTTGCGATTCAGAGAAAATTTTCGCTAATTGGTCTGATGTTTGACAAAAACAAATTTATGATTTAAATTCCCCAAGGAGTTCTGCTTTTAAATAATATAATTATGAAGAAGTTGAAATTTTAATTTCTCGAAATTTTCATAAAATTAAATAAGTGGGGGTAACAGATGTAAAAAATAAAAATATTTTTACCAAAATTTTCTAAAAATCATGTCAAAACTAATTTCCTTCATTTGTGAATAAATTCTGGAAATATCATTAAAATCTGACAATTATTTAATTTTTGCAAGAATTTTCAAAACGCCAAAAATGACACTAAAAGTCCCTATACTAATCTTTGTACCACCGGCTGACGCAAAAAAAAAAAAAAAATTAACCAAAATTTCGAACGTGCCAGACAGGATTAAAAAAAATAATAAAATACTTTGGTCTTTCTTCTTAATTATAACATAAACATTTTGATGATACAAATTTGTTTTTATCAAGTTTCAGATCTTTTTTCATTCTGGTATGTTTTTTCTAGAAAATATTTGGAGGTACCTACATTATTATCTTCAAAAAAATTCTGACAATTTAGAAACATTTTCTGGCTTTAAAGTTTGGGGCTTTTTTTCATCATAGTATGTAGAGTTCGAATTCCAGTTGAATCTATTACATTTCCTTGGGTGCTAATACCCTTGGTAAAGGTATGAATCCTCTTCTCCCTCCAGCAATGGATAAATAGTAGGACAGACCGGCTTCTATAGTCTTGGATGTCAACTGGTCTACCGCAGAAAGAAACGGCAATCTGCTGCGAGAAAAATATCTGCCTCGTCAGACATGTATCGAAAGATATATGATCGCCTAAGCGTTTATCACGTATGGCCCATAACTGATTGACTTATGCTCGTTTTCAGAAAATATTCGGAGGTACCTACATTAGTTCCCTCAAAAAGATTGTTACAATCTAAAATATTTTTCTGGCTTTAAATAACCTGCAAAAGATTGATTAACCCCGAAGAAAATCAACCACTCAATTATTTTTCACTGTCGTATTTGGGAAACCATTTTATTGTTTTTTTTCTTTCTTGTTCGTAGAATTGTTTCTTTACATTATCTTAGATTTTTCTTTCGTTCTTTCTTTCTTTTACGTTCTTACTTTCATTTTCTTACTTTTCTTTTCTTTTTTTCTTTTCTTTTTCTTTCTTTGTTTCTTTTAGTTTCTTTCTTTCTTTTAGTTTCTTTTTTCTTTTAGTTTCTTTGTTTGTTTCTTTCTTTTAGTTTCTTTCTTTCTTTCTTTCTTTTAGTTTCTTTCTTTTTTTCTTTTAGTTTCTTTCTTTCTTTTAGTTTCTTTCTTTCTTTCTTTTTTCTTTTAGTTTCTTTTTTTCTTTTAGTTTCTTTCTTTTAGTTTCTTTTTTCTTTTAGTATCTTTCTTTCTTCTAGTTTTTTCTTTCTTTCTTTCTTTTTTTCTTTTAGTTTCTTTCTTTCTTCCTTTCTTTATTTTGTTTCTTTTAGTTTCTTTCTTTTAGTTTCTTTTAGTTTCTTTCTTTCTTCCTTTCCTTCCTTTCCTTCCTTCCTTCTTTCCTTCTTTCTTTCTTTCTTTCTTTCTTTCTTTCTTTTACACCTACAGCCGAATTCTGACCGAATAATTAGAATTTAGCAGAAGCCTTTCCTTTCGCAACATTTCGTTTCGGATCAAAGTGCTCCCACTACAAGTAGCATCGTTCCTCCACCGTCCTACTTCCTGCAACACAGTTGTCTTCTCGCCCCTGACATTTCTTCATTTGTATAATTGTGTATCTCAACTCCGACACATTTTGATGCCCGACTGATCAAGGCCGCCATCTTGACGATAGCAAACCGGAAGTGGCACTGGCGGGAAAATTGATGTAACGCTTGTTGAACGAATTTCAGAAATAAATGAACCTGTCGGTCGTGGGAGTGGTGTTAATGCCATAGGCACCACAGGCACATATATAATAAGCGTGATCATTTATAAGAACACACACACACACACACACACACACACACACACACACACACACACACACACACACACACACACACACACACACACACACACACATATATGAATAAAAAGAAAGAACAGTAAGATATATAATCCGGTGTTCTTATAGATATTTTTTTTTATAAATTAATTGATTTAAAATATGGTATTTTTCGCTACACAGTTCTAACCATGCTTCAAAAATAGAAGCTGTGTGTATGTGTGTGTGAGTGCTTTTTCATACAATGACACTCATTCATTTCCATAAATACATACACATGTAAAAACACCTATATAGGTAGGTGTATTTGTATGTTTTAATTATTGCTTACAAGATGTTTCAGAAATGTCTACAGACTTTGTTAATTATTGCTTTGTTTCGTTATAAAATTTAGTTCAATTTTTTTAAAATGATGGAATGTTCCAATTAAGAAATATAAAAGAAATATAAAAAGTGTTGTAACGTATCTTCGAAATGTGTCCGTTTTTTGGGACACCCTTTACCAAATACATTTATATGATAACTGTATATGCGTATTATATTTATATTATAGCTATATATGCATAGTATAAGATATCGAAGCGTCAAACTCCATGTACACATCCATATATACGCATAGAGGTAAAATTGGAAGTGTCCTTGATTTTGAAGTAACTTCCAACTCTGCCAGATGGCGCTTTGGTAACCACTCCATCCGGCAAGTTTCGATTCCAAACCGGATATCCTGAAACCCCATCAATTATTCGCACTCACTCACACTATTCTTTATTTGATCTTTTGTCACAAACATCTGCATCCAATAAGCAGACAATCAATAAACCTCTGAAGAGAGACGGAACGCTGAACCAAGTTGTCACAAAATAATTCTATTGCTATACTTGCTAACCTCAATTGACTAGAAAGAAAAACATTAATGAAAAAAAAAATTGCTGTCTTCTGAACAGAAATATATATATATATATATATATATATATAAAGAAAGAACAGTAAGATATATAATCCGGTGTTCTTATAGATATTTTTATTTTTACAAAATAGTGCTCAATGTAAATTTACAGAGCATTAATATTATAAATTAATTGATTTAAAATATGGTTTTTTCGTTACACAGTTCTAACCATGTTTCAAAAATGGAAGCTAAAAGCCCCGGATTTAATTTTGTAATTAAATTAAAGACATTAGTTCCATTTCATCCTCAAGCGAATTTTGGAGTAACTTTTAAAATTCTCCAAAATTATATATACATACATATATATATATATATATATATATATATATATATATATATATATATATATATATATATATATAAGAAATATATTTTTAGGGTGTGCTATATTTACGGGATAAAATGCTCAATATCAGTGATAGAGCGTATGTAAATATAAATATAAAAGTGAACATTGAAGTCAACACTCAGAGGTGACAGGCTTTTTCATGCGAGACGCTTGATTTCAATGTTCACTTTTATATATATATATATATATATATATATATATATATATATATATATATATATATAGAGAGAGAGAGAGAGAGAGAGAGAGAGATAAAGTTGTCCGAATTTTTTACATGAAACTTTGTTATATTTTTCGTTTTTTTCATGTAATATTATATATATATATATATATTTATATATATATATATATATTATATATATATATATATATATATATATATATATATATATATATATATATATATATATGTATAAGAGACACAAGTTTAATCAAACGTTAGCGTATTTTTACAAACCAAAGTCAAAAAAGCTATCAATTTTTAAAAAATTAAAAGAAAAGAAAAAGTACAAGAAAATAAAACACATTTATTCCTGACTTTTGCTGCCATTGGGCGTTTTTTTATCAACAGCAAAGAACAAAATAATCTTTCAAATGACTAAACCATGGGACAATTATTTATAAATAAAAAAGCCAACGATTTCATTAACTTATAGCATATGCGGAAATGGTGTCTCTTTGGGATTTACTGTGACTCATAAAAGCTATATAAAAACAGTTTGTTTTCTTTTCTGGAGTAATGGAGAAAAAGACCGCTTGATTTTTAATTCTTAAGAATAAACAATCTTATAAAAGTTTGTGTAGTGATCTCTGTTTTTCTGTTTTATGGTGATTCTGCCAACAGTATATAAACATCACAATTGATTACTGCATGTTTGTTTTTTAAAGCCAAACAAAGTATATGATACGTGATAAATTCGTTAGAAAAAAACAAAAAACAAAAAGAAAACAGTAATGCTAAACTGATATGTAATATCGCTCCTTATATATAGCCGTAAATACTGCACAATTTCCTCGCAGATGAAAAAGAGACAACAGAAATGTGGTTCTATGTAAGGATATAGGGAATATCATGGCCGAAACATGTGAGTAATGAGGAATCTTAAGGGATATAGAAACATATAAAAGTATGCAGTTGACACAGGACATATTGAAGGCAGGAAGGATAGAGAAAAGCAGTGAGTAACCTACATAACGAGCTTGTATAAATGGATGAAAGATCGAGGATTGGAAAGGACAGCGAAAAGATAAACGCTAATAAGAGTTACAAAGGATAGAAAATAGTGGAGAGCCATGATCGTCCACGTTCTGAAGAAGTACATAGAAGAAGAAGAGCTCTTTTCCGATGTGTTTTGACAGTAGATTTGGTAGTAATATCAACAAAGACGTGTACAAATGTGAGTTCTGAATTTTTATGGAACTATTTGTTGTGGTAAACTCTCCTACAGTAGAATGAACTCTTCCTCCTCTCATAAATACTAATTGCGAGAGTCGGTTGGGCAGAGAGCAGATGCAGTCTGAGGGGAAATTTTTGTCCTTGCCCAGGTGTACGCGCTCGGGTCCCCACATTAATCCGACCTTGTGTCACATCTCATTCTCGTGGGGGAATGTGTAAATACCAGAGAGAAGATGCAGTGTTAACCTACCGTTCGGAGGTACACCACTGGCTACTTATTTCTTCAATATGCTTGTTCAACCTACCTTCATCTTCCATGTCTTTCTTTTTGGCACATAAACAGGCCACAACACTATTGTTACATTAACACATTAACTACCAAATTTTTAAATGCGCATTTTTGGCACAGACAGGTGTCTTAGGAGTTTATTTATTCCTTATGTTTAATTTCAGTAGTTACCATTGTCGCTTTTATAGAAACTAGAACATTAAATATATATGTGTATAAAACATCAAAAAATAATATTGATTAGAAATAATAAAAAAATACTTTTCAAAATAGTCATTATTTTTCTACTCGTGAAATGTAAAATTACGACAGAATGTATCTTCTTACGGCTAATAATAAAAACTTTAAAGGCTAAGTGTTGTAAAATATATCTCTGTAAATATAATGTATGTAAACAATTCAATGTAAATACAAGGAATAATATGTAGTGAGTTTAATTTTAACAGATCCCCAAATGGAGCTCATGGCAGGTAATGGGTTAAATGTGCCATAATCAGCCGGCGAATATATTTTTCTTACAGTTTACCATAATCTCTATTATAATTCTGTTTGGCCCACCCGCCCTTCGTTAGTTCCTTAGCTAGTTCGCACTACCGTTACACCCTGCCAATGTCTCATGAATAATGGACTGTACCGGAACAGGCATATCAGAGACGCTACTTGGTTTCAATGAGTAAATGAAAAAGGAAAGGAAAGAAAGGAAGACAGAAGTTTTTAACGTCTCTTTCAGTGAAATGGAAAAGGTTGTCGATTTCAAATCTTTTAATTTGTGCACACTTATAAAAACATTTATTAATAAAAAATGTTTGCAAGACAGGTTTTCGGCTCGTTATAATAATAACAGGTGGAATTGTTATACAATAATGAAATACAAACGTTTATTTTATGAAAATGTGATTGATGGCGTATGAGGTTCAGTACGTATGAAAACGTTTGTGGCGAAAACAGTTTATTATGTATATAAGAATAATTTAGTTAAGATTAATAAACTGCATGAATTTGTAACACCATATTTCTAAAATGATTATTATATTGACTTATCTTAGGATCTTGTGTAGCTGGAGTGGTTGGAATGAAAATGCCGCGCTACTGTCTAGTTGGAGACACAATCAACACCACTTCACGGATGGAATCGACCGGAGAAGGTAAACTTTAATTAATAGTATTCAGTATATGAATGTACATCTATCTATCTATCTATCTATCTATCTATCTATCTATCTCAGCCTATTCAGATCTATCTATCTATCTATCTATCTATCTATCTATCTATCTATCTCAGCCTATTCAGATCTATCTATCTATCTATCTATCTATCTATCTATCTATCTATCTATCTATCTAATTTTGATCATATCTATCTCATCTTGCTATCTATCTATCTATCTCATTTTCAGAAATCTATCTATCTATCTATCTATCATCCTCTATTCAGATCATATCTATCTATCTATCTATCTATTTTTGAAATCTATCTATCTATCTATCTATCATATCTATCTCTGATCATGTTTATCATCATCTTCTATCTATCTATCTATCTATCTATCTATCTATCTATCTATCTATCTATCTATCTATCTATCTATTTCAGCCTATTCAGATCTATCTATCTATCTATCTATCTATCTATCTATCTATCTATCTATCTATCTATCTATCTCAGTT